GGAGAGAGGGAGATGGTGACTTAGCTCAGAAAAGGAGCTGGGTGCCTAGTTAAAATACCAGCCTCCTAATTGCAGCAGTTGTCAGCACAAATTACCTATTGCCAGCATTGCTCAACTCGCACAGCGCTTGCGCGTGCCGGCGTTTCCAAAACACTGGCCTTCACACTGAGTTTTTGCCATACTCATTCTCAACAGATTAAGTTTCAAGACTGAGCTTTTCACCCTTAGTTTTTATTTTCTTTTAAGAAACCTTGCACTTCCTCTGCGGGACAGGAAATGTACTTCAGCTCCTTGAACAGTTGTTATCAGATGGCAGCGGCGGGGGCTTGTTCCAGTTATGGGCCTGAATAACGTAAGGCTCGGTATCTGTTCGAGGAAGCTTTCTAAGGTACCGAAAGGTCAACTGAATCCATTCCTTAGCCAGGCCGTTTGCTGAAGGAGAACGTTTTTTAACCATAAAAGTCAGTAAGCCTTTCCTGAGCTACAGGGGAAAAAAAAATACCTGCTCCAAGTTGATTTCTTAGCTTCCTTAGGCACCTTGACAAAGCCAAGCTTGAAGAAATCCTTGGATTTTCCCCAATGGACCTTTTCCCGCTGTCCCAGGTAAGCAGCAGAAGTAAGGATATTCCAAACACCAGAAGTTCCACCACTGCCCTCAAAAGATTTACAGACATAGCAGGAGTATCCTGCCCTCCTGCATCAAGGCGGGGGAAAACTGAGCCAGGGAGCAGCAGTTTAGAATGTTCTCTCTGAAGAGCTCTCAGGCACCCCACAGCATCCTGCAAGGTCTAAGGGTTTTTAATTTGCTGGGTTCATTAGCTGCTCCCTCTGCTCTGTACCATAAAAGCATGTAGTTTCCCTTTTCTTGGTCGAGGCCTCCCATCACGGAAAGGTTGAGGCCTGTTCACTGACAAAGCAGCTTCAGAAAGCGAGTTTTCTGCACACCGAGCACAGCTGGTTTAACCTGGGGTTTCTGTGACTCACGTGGCACAGAAAGCATTGTTTGCCGTAGACGTTCCTAACGTTAATTCCTTCCCGCTCATCAACTCGAGTTTTCATTTCAGCTTCCACGGGGTGCGTGTACGTATCGGAGGCATCAAGTCAAGTTCTCCCGCAGAGGGGCGCGTTACCACGCCTGCAGTTAACGTGTTCGCCCTGCTTCGGCAGGCCGAGCTCCTTTTAACGCTATGCAGAGAGCAGTCATACCGCACTGCTTTTAAGGACCTGCTTTTTGGCTCCTCGTTTCTCCTTCCCATTCTGGCCTTACATTCTTACTGGGCTGCAAAACTATCAGAGACAAAAGATGACCTTCCACACCGGCTGGTTAAACCGCTACAGAAATTGATTTAATCAGATCTGTATTTAAGGAGAATCCGAAGAGCGGACTCAAACTTAATTCATAGAACCACAGAATGGTTT